CATGCGGTGCACGGGGTTCGAAATAGCCGGCATTTAAAAATGGCGCCGGCCGGCTTCATGCAAATGAAGCCTGGGAAATTCAAATCCCGGGCTTCATTTGCAATTGCAGATGACTACATTACCCCCGCTAGTTCGAACTAGCGGCGTAGTGTAGACATACCCTTATAGACTAACAGATTTATTGGAGCATAAGTTTTCTTGGGCAAAGACCCACTTTGTCAGATGCATCAGATGAAGTGGGTCTTTGCCCATGAAAGGTTATGCTCCAATAAATTTGTTAGTCTATAAGACGCCACAGGACTTCTCGTTTATGCAGATTCAGACTAACACGGCTACCCTCTGATACCTCATCATGGACTTTTTTGGAGGAGGTACCATTATTTAGTCATGGCTGTGGGTAGGATTCTCATTTTCCCTCCACAATCATTCCCAAAAACCCAATTGTAAATTGTTTGAATAGAATTGGAGGCTTCACTTGAGGCAGTGTTTCTCAAAGTGGTCTGTGAAACCACTTTGAGAAACCTGTAACTAGCTGTTCTGGTGTGCTTACTCATGGATGCAATGGCCACTGAGAGTCATGGCTCCTTTTGGTTCCATTTCATTATTTACAGCCCAGGAGAGTCATGGGAAGTGGCAGCCTGGCCCACACCACTTTCCACGGCTTCCCTTGGCTGCAAATGGCAAAACAGAGTCAATAGGAGCCACGCACTCCAGGGCCGTGGCACTGGTATGTATACACATTGGAGCAGCCAGTTAATTGGTTTCTCAGAGTGATTTCGCAGAGCACTTTGAGAAACACTGCACTAAGGGGAAGGCAGTAATGGAATGCTTTTTGCTTTATGTCTGCTGGAAAGGTGTACTTCTCTTTTATAATAGGAGATAGAGTCTCCAACTTCAGAGCTTCACTGTCATGGTCTCATGATGAGGCTTTTAGTTAGAAATAGTTTGTATACTGTCAAGAGAACACAACAATATTTGTAGTAAAAATATAGAACAAATGTATTGTGGGAAGGAATCCAAAATCATTGTAACATTTTGCACATTAAAGATGGTTCTCCTATCTCTAGGCTGGCAAGGGGTATACAATAGAATACATTCACATTTTAAACAACGCAATACATTATACTGTTGTTCATAATTGAGTATTTTAAAACAATAATTTAAGCCAGTATGATTTTACTCTCATTGTGTGTTATGTACCCCAATAGGTATGTAAAAGAAGGTGATAGTGTGTCTCAGTTTGATAGCATCTGTGAAGTACAAAGTGATAAAGCTTCTGTCACTATCACTAGTCGTTACGATGGCATCATTAGAAAACTCCATTATAATCTAGATGAAATTGCATATGTTGGAAAACCATTAGTGGACATAGAAACCGATGTCTTGAAAGGTATTGTAAACACTTTTCTCTTCAATATTAATTTATTTTTTGATGTCAAAACCATTCAGGTATTCAGAGGTCAAGATTAAGATTAAATTTTTTGCAGAAAATGAATTTAATAAAAATCTATAAAATGTAACGTCTGTATATAAGAAACTACTCAAAGTAGAATGGTGATGCATGCATTTCAATATTATTAACATTCTCTTCATTCTTGTTATTAAAAAATAGGAAAAAAAACTCAACATTTGTGGTGGTAGAGATAATTCAATATCACAGTTCCCACAAAAACTTTAACAGCCACATTGTACACAGAGGCATGAAATTTTTTTATCCTATACAGTAACTCAACAGTTTTGTATCTGTACAAGGGGAATTAATGAATTGCTCGGGGAATCAAAATTTTGAATTGCACCTGGTTTGTGCTTTTAAAATCAGCCATAATACTGCAATAATTTACTGGTAGTTTTGCACTCATGTACAGGTACATATCTAGTCTAAGAAATAGAGTTGGAAGTTTTGGTACTTAGCAAAGTATCTTAATTCCCTCCTGAAGATTTGGGCTATGAAGTTAGTGGGAGTTATTTCATTGACTTCACTGGAATCAGGAGTTCAGTATAGGATGTTTACCTCTGTATAGTCTGCTTATGTAGCTTTTTTAGGCTTTGTGTGGTTGTGTAATATTTATTGAATAAGACTCAATATTTAAACTTTCATATGGATTTTTTTTTTATAAATTTGAAGAGGAAGATGTATTTGTTTGTCCTCAGTCTATAAATAACTGACTGACATTGACTGATATTTTCTTAGGGGCAAAAATATAGATTTGTGTTGGTTCAAGCGAAATGAATGATTTTCTTTCTACTCTGTGTCTGATCTTTGGGAGGGCCTTAAGTTTTTCTCTTAATTTGGCTATTAAATATGTCTCTGTACTAGCTTATTTTTTAAAAACAGAGGAATGATTATATTTCTTTGGGTAGCAGGATTCTAAAAAAGAAGCCTTCAGTAAGGTAATGGAAAAAGTTTTTTATGAACTCAGTAAAATTAAATTAATGTTCCAGTTTTTCATAATATCTTTGTGTTTGGTACCAATCTAGCTATTGTTTGTGGGGAGGAGAATAAAACTAAGGGTACATCTACACTGCACCAGAGTATCCCGAAATAGCTATCTCGCGTCTTTACAGCAAACCCGTTATTTCAGGCTCATAACGTAAGGGACGTTTCAGAATAGCGCTTTATTTCGAAATTTGGCATTGTGTTGACAGCGCCAAATGACAAAATAAGCTATTTCTAAATAGCATCAAAATAAGATACACAATTTGTGTAGCTTTAATTGCGTAACTTATTTTGAGTTACAGTGCTGTGTAGATGCATCATAAGTATTGGTTATATTAGGTTTCTACGTGAAGTCTTGTTGAATAATTATATTGTATTTGTAAGGGTGAAGTATTTTTAAGAACCTAAATGACTTACTAGTCTTAAGTCCTACTGACAGTCAGAGGCACTGGGATGTTTTTTAAAATAAGAGTATAAGAATCTTGCCCAAATTCTGAATTATTCCTCTGGTTCATCACTCAGAAGCCCTGAAACCATTCATCTAGTTAGCTTGTTATATATAGCATACGTATTTTACACAGTTTGCATACCGGTCACCTGCTTGGGCTGAAAAGAAACAAAGTTTGTTCAATAGAAAAAACATTGATTCAACAATGGAATAATAAGGAACAGCAAACATATACATTACACAGAAAACAAACAAAAGACACAACCTCAAGCTTTTCACTTTCATATCAGACAAAATCCCTTTTCTAATAAGAATTTACCAGTTTCCTTAAACAGTTTCCCAGCGCACAGTCCACCCATCCAGCATTCATGAACAGCCTCAATACAGGATGATCTTCAGTACAATCTCTATTTTAAAAAACATGTTTTCATTAACTACAGATATTCAAAGTGAAGAAAACACTCTCCTTTCTTAATTTGTGAAAACTGGTTTCTTTTCAATTTCAAGCTGTTTTCGTTTGTTTTGATGATTCCTTGTTTACTGCTGAGCTGGACAATGGCCAGGTAACTGCAATGTAGAGGCCATGTCAGTTCAAAGAGACTACAGTGTGAGTGAATTAATTTTGGGTGGGAGGAAGCAACGTCTTTTGGTGAGAGAAACAAGATTTCAAGCTACGCAGATTTCTTCCTACGGCTGACAGAGGTACTTAGAGTGGCAGGGTGTTTGAAACAAGTCTCTTCTGGTGAGGGGGAGATGGCCCCTCCCCTCCTGATTACTTCATTACCTTATTGAGAGGTGATGCTGAAGTTTGCACCAGACTAACAATTACAATTTTATAGAGAAAGCGAGCGCTGCAAATCCATGGTTATCTGCTTTATAGCTGTATTTATCCATTTCCACAGATATGGATGTAGATAGCTGCAACTCATTTTTGCAGATACAAGTGTGAATGCGGATACAAATATTGTACCTAGAACTCTGCAAATTTGTAGATATCTGCTTTATGTCTGGGGTATCCAAATCCTTGGATGTGGATATCTGCGGATCATTTTTGCAGATTCAGCTACCAATTTTTTATCTGTGCAGGGCTTTATCTGTATACATGCACATACATCCAAAACCATATCTCTGTTTTAATCTTGACATATTGCAAGTTTAGCATCTTCGAGGAAATAACTTTAAACAATGTAGTAAAGTTAAAGCACTTTTTAAATATTATTTTCAGCTGTAAGCTCAGAAGAGGATGTTGTTGAGACACCTGCTGTGTCTCATGAAGAGCAGACCCACCAAGAGATAAAAGGCCACAAAACATTGGCAACTCCTGCAGTCCGTCGCCTTGCCATGGAAAACAATGTAGGTTTGTGTCCTACTCAAGCAGGCTCTGCTGTGGTATATTCACTGCTTGTACATGTGTCTAACTGTATTTGGGAGGGTAATAAAACTGTAGTATTATTGAAGACTGGTGGTGAATTGCCAGGAAACAATGAAAAAAGTTGTTGATAATTTGTTTACCGCAAATGAATAGTGTTTCATTGTTGAAGCTGTGAACTGCTTGTACATAATATTTCTCCTATAAGAACAAAGTATTGAAATAATCATTATTTGGCCTTCTGAGGGTTTGTCTATACTGCACGCTAATTTTCAAATAAGCTATTTCAGAATTTATTTTCCAGAATAGCTTATTTCGAAATAGCGCATCTACATAGAAAAAGTGCATCAAAATAGTGTGTAGCTATTTCGAAATAGAGCGTCCACACTGATTGGACGCTAGCTCGCATTTAAGGCCACCCGGAACCACTTCAGGCAGGGCATCAGGTCAGCAGTGACTTCCTGGAGCTGCTGCCTCAGGCTATCTGAGACGCGTGCTTAGAGGGACCCCCCTGTACAGCCATTTCTCAGATTCTTCTCCTGCTTGCCTACCTCTCTGAGGGAAAGCAAATCATATTCACTGTGTGCTTTTGTTCCCTGTTATTGGACACCACAGCACTCCCAGCTATGGAGCTGGAGCTGCCAATGGGCACGCGACAGCCCCTGACTGTCATGCTGCAGTTTATGCAGCAGTTTATGCAGGCTGCCCTCCTGGCCCTGCAGGAACACAACCCCCATCTGTTTGAGGAGACCCTTAACCTCTGTCTGGGAGCGCAGCTCTTCCATCTGCACCCTACTGTGCACCACCTCTTCTGGTGGCTGGACACCTATTCTGACTGGTAGGACCAGCTCGTGATGGAGCAATAGGACAATCAGCAGTGGCTCCAGAATTTCCACATGAGGAAGAAGACCTTTCTGGAGCTGTGTGCTTGGCTTGCCCCTGCCCTCCCATGATGGGACACCCAGATGAGACCTGCCATCCCCCTGGCTGGTTGCCATCACTGTCTGAAAGCTTGCCACACTGGACAGTTACTGATCTGTCGGGAACCAGTTCAGCATGGGGAAGTCGACCGTCGGGGCCCTAATCATGCAGGTATGGTGCTTTCGGGCTGCAGTCCCAAGAGGGGGAGGGGTGAAGTGCTGGAAAGGAGAACCTTAAGGAAAGGCAAAGTGCTGGGAAGCCCCCATCCCCAGGCGGTTCTCCAGTGTCACCCTCACACAGTTCTGCTGGGGGGGTGGGCTACATAGGGGGTGGCTCCTGGTGTGGTTGGGGAGGGGGGAGGAAGGGCTTGGTGACCTCCGAAGGGCTCTGGCATCCCTGTGATTCTCTGTTTTGTTTGTTTGTCGTCTTCTGCAGGTGGCGAGGGCCATCAACACCATCCTGCTGCGCAGGGTCATCCACCTTGGCGATGTGGACCCCATAATCTCCAGCTTTGCCACCATGGGCTTCCCCAACCGAGGGGGGCGGTACTGGCTGCACCTACATCCCCATCTGGGCCCCCGACCACCAGGCATCTCTCTACATTAATTTGAAGGGATACTTTTTCATGGCCTGTAGGCCCTGGTCAACCACTGCAGGCAGTTTACTGACATGTACATCAGATGGTCGGGGAAGGTGCACAACGCCCACATGTTCTGCAATTCCAGCCTATTCCAGAAGCTGGAGGCTGGCACTTTCTTCCTCAAGCACACCGTCAGGATCGGGGACGTGGACATTCCATTGTGCTTTGTGGGGGATGCAGCCTACCCTTTCATGCCATGGCTCATGAAGCCCTGTACTGGACACCTTGACCCAGCAAGGATCGCTTTAATGCCCAGGTGGATAGGGTCTGCATTCAGGCGGAGTACGCCTTCGGGCATCTCATGGCGTGTTTCTTATGCCTCCTGGCCCGGCTGGATGTAGGGGAGCAGAACATCCCCCAGGTGGTGTCCTGTGTTATGTGCTCCACTTACTCTGTGAAAGAAAGTGGGAGGTGTTCCTCGCTGGGTGTGGGGCAGAAGCCAGCCAGGATAGAAGGGCCTTTGAGCAGCCGTGCACAGCTGCCATCCGGCAAGCCCATCAGGAGGCTGTGTGCATCCGACAGGCCCTGAGGGAGAGTTTCACACAAGGACCCCAGTGACACTCTCCCTAGGGCCTCCCCAAGCCCTGTGTCTTGCCCCCTCTGCCTTTCCTCCAGCAACCCTTCCCTTCCCTCCTCCACCCCTCTCCCCTGTACAGACAATAAAACAAGCTGGTTTTGAAAGAAAACTCTCTGGTTATTTATTTGGGGTAGAAGTAACTGGGGAGGGACCAGAGAGAGAACCTGGAGGAGGAGGAAGGAGAGGCTTAGTGCTGGGGCTGGGAGTTGTGTCTGGCTTGGATGGTTCATCCACCTCGTGTGCAAGGACCTCAGCAAACATGGGGGTGGGGGGAACGGAAGAAGGGGAGGCTAGGGAAGAAGCAAGAGCAGGGGGCTGGAGCAGGGGCAGGCATGGGAGGAGGAGGAGGGGTAGGGGCTGGGACTGGGGCAGGAGTGGCAGCAGGAGCTGGCTTTGGGTGGGCAAGGAGAGCCTACACGATCACTCACATGTTGCGTCCCTGCTGCAGCAACTCTGTCCAGGTCTCCCTCCTCCAGTGCATGACCTCCCGGATCCTCTGGTCCAGGGTCTTGTGCAGGGCCCAGAGTACACAGATGTGCTTCTGCATCAGTTCTTCCTGTGTTATCCATTGCCTGCAGCTCCCCCGGTGTCGGGCGGCTGCCTCAGGTGGTGTTGCCTGCCCCCCTCTCACAGCTGGTCTGGCTGGGGAGAATAAAGAGAAACCGTCAGTCATCCCTAGAGACACTGTCTCTGAAGCCTTGCCCTCATCTGTGAGCCGAGACCTACAGTTCTCGGGTGAGATCAAAGTGATGTTTCGGGAGCAAGGCCATGTGTTACCTGGACAGCAGGCCCTTTCTTACAGAGGCCCAGACATCCTCAGGGGAGCATGCTCCCTCCCTCTTCCCCCCGCATCCCAGAAACAAGCAGTCATGGGAAGTTGCCAGCTACACTGGGATCCTGTGGACAGGAGGGGTCCTCGTGCTGGCTGGCTGGGCTTGCCTCGTTGCTGCACACATGCCAGGTCAGTGGTAGCATCCCAAGGGAAGAGAACTTGTATCTCTGGACGCTGGGGCAGAAGAGGTGAGGGTGCAGGGGAGGGAGTGTGAACAGCAGACACACCTGGCAGTGATGTCCCCGGGAGCAGGTGCTGCCTCATGCATGCAGGGATGCCCGTGTACCGTGTGTGGCACTTCAGCATCTGTGTGTGTGTGTGTGTGTGTGTGTGTGTGTCCTTGTTCCCAGCCTCCTCCTAGCAGTGGCTTGTGGTGGGAGGGTGTCCCACCCGTGTCCCACCCGGATGTCTGAAGTGTGGCCGACCTCTCTAGACTCTGTGAGCAAGAGCTCAGGGGTGCTCAGATGCAGCCTCTTGGGCTGTGTGGCCCAAACTGCTGCTGCATGTGCATCCACGTGCACGGACTGCAATGTAATTCCCCAGGCAGAGACGGCCGAGCGAGGAGTGCACTGCAGCCCCTCGCCGCCTGCCACTTCCATCCTGTCTGTGTGAGAAAACTAAGGTCACTCACCTGATGTTCCCTCCCTGGCCTCAGAGGATGCCTGGGACACACCCAGGCTGTAGGGTACTGGCTCCAGTGTTACCGAGGTGGCAATGCTGGCTGTGTCGGGGTCGTCCTCCTCCTCACCGGCTCTGGCCCCTGGGCGGATGACAACGGGCGTCTCCAGCCTGAGTTGACCACCAGGGGTAGAGAAGGGGCTGCACCAACTCCAAGGATGCAGTGCAGGTATTGGTAATAGGGGCAGGAGTGTGGTTCTGCCCCTGAGCAGAAGCTGCGCTCCTCGCCCTGACGTAGCCCTGTTGGAGCTCTTTAACTTTCATCTGGACCTGCTCCTGGGTCTGGATGTGGCCCTTGGTGACCGGGCTATTGCCCATGCAGCCATAGATGTCGGTATTGCGCCTTCTGGAGTGGAGATCCTGGAGGTTTTCCTCCTCACCCCACACCTCAGTGAGGGCCAGGATCTCCACTCCAATACCTCTTCTGCCACCTGGCAGGCTCCTGGGAGCCATCAGAGTGCTTTCTGGGAGAGGCTCTTGGAGGGCTCAAGGGTCAGCCATGCTGGCTCCCTGCATTGCCAGGCTTCTTTCGGAAAAAGCTTTTCTGCAAGAGATCTTCTGGAAAAACTTATTTCGAACGAGAGCATCCACATAGCAAAAGCATATCAAAAAAGTGATCTGCTTTTTCAAAAGATAGTGTCCACATTGATTGGACGCTATCTTGCATTAGAGTCCTGATGAGTGAAGATGGAGTGGCCAGTAGGGCATCTGTGGGATTCCCTGGAGGCCCCTTATTTCAAAAAAAAAAAAAAAAAAAAAAAAAAACCAATGCCTATTCCAAAATAGCTATTTTGGAATAGGCATTATTCCTCATGGAATGAGGTTTACACAAGTCGGAATAAACTGTCCGTTATTTCAAATTTATTTTGAAATAATGGAATTGCTGTGTAGACGTGTAACCACCACCAAGACGGATCTGAACCTGGGACCTTGGGAGCTGATTCGAGGAGCCTCTACCCTCTGAGCTAAAAGCCAGTTGGCTCTCAGCCCATGCTATAGAGGTCTCTTGATCTTAACTGTTGCAGTAGTCTAGGTGCCACTTGCAGTACTCAGTAACCACACTAGGTGTGTGGGTTACAGACGCTCACATTTTTATTTCAAAATAACACTTATCTCAAAATAACAGTGCAGTGTAGACGCACTCTGAGTGAAGAGTCTTCAACCAATCTATAACTTGAAATGTGTTCACACATAAAATGCATCAAATACATTCAAATAGCAACAAAAATAGTAAAAGTCATATTGTTTTCAAACTATGAGTAAACAGGAAAAAGAACTGCATTCACCACATACATTGTATATTGTGAATTATTCGCCCAGTTCTAGAAATAAAATATAATTTCAGTTCTCAAATTATAAATCTTCCATGCATGTAACTGTCATGCAATGCTATAAAGATAGGAGTGGCAGTGATAGTTTTGTAACATAGTTGAATGAAAATAAATCTCTCTCACCACACAACTTGAGAAGTGGTTTTCGCTTACCCAATGTGATGCATCTTCTTACAGAGCTAAGATATAGTATTGATGCTTGCTGCATTTCGCATCTTTCCACCGTTTTGTTTGGATTTGTCTGTCTTAGAAACTCCTGTTAAGTCACATTTGACTGACAGTTCTTATGTAAGACAGTTTAGATCATAAATGTTCAAACACCAAGTCACAAGAAGATATTAACCTGAGGAATGTTATTAGCATTGTAACATTTTTTGTATTTATAATCCAGTTACTTGTGCTGTATAGCAAAAGTTCTATAGTTTGTTGTATATTTTTCAGATTAAACTAAGTGAAGTTGTTGGAACAGGGAAAGATAACCGCATCCTTAAAGAAGACATTCTCAATTATTTGGCCAAGCAGACGGGAGCTATTTTACCTCCATCGCCAAAACCTGAAATTATTCCACCATTACCAAAACCAGAGACTGTGCCACCTGCTCCAAAGGACAGAGGAACTAAAATTGCTATACCCATTTCCAAGCCCATTGTGTTTGCAGGGAAAGATAAAACTGAGGCGGTGACAGGTAAAAAGATAAATGCAATTCCATAGCCAAAATCACAGATAAGTAATTATTCAGTGAATGGTAAAATTTAAATTGATTCTCTTATTTCCACTGATGGAGAGACAGCTTTCATCTTGTAATCACACTAATGTGCTGAAACAATGAGAATCAGGAAAGGTAAGTGTGATTTGTAGAAAAAAAGAGTTTGAACTAATTTTTCAGATGGTGGTCAGACAGGGTTGTCAGTGTTCTCCTCTGCCACCCTGTGGTTTCACCGTGTTCTCTGGTAGTAGAACAGGGCTATGACGTGCTCCTGTTCATCTTAAATTGTTTTTTAAACTGTGCATTATGAACATCTAAAAACATTTTGTGCAGAATTTTGGAAATGAGTACTCTGGAATTCCTCAAAAAGTACTCTGTTCCTACAGAAATCATTATGTAACTAATTGGCAGGATCAGTGAGTAGATTTGTTTATTGGTGCTTAAATAATTATCTACTGTGTGATAAGTATCAGAGGGTTAGCTGTGTTAGTCTGGATCTGCAAAAGCAACAAGGAGTCCTATGGCACCTTATAGACTAACATGTATTGGAGCATAAGCTTTCGTGGGCAAAGACCCACTTCATCAGATGCATGTAATGGAAATTTCCAGAGGCAGATATAAATATGCAGGCCAGAATAAGGCTAGAGATAACAAGGTTAATTCAGTCAAGGAGGGTGAGGCCCACTTCTAGCAGCTGATGTGGAGGTGTGAACACCAAGAGAGGAGAAACTGCTTTTGTACTTGGCTAGCCATTCACAGTCTTTGTTTAATCCTAAACTGATGGTGTCAAATTTGAAATGGGCACAGACAAGATGCACTGGAAGAGCAAATTAATTTGTGTTTTCTTCAGTTTTATAATATATGGGGCTACAGAGGATGAAAAGACTGATGTAGGTTAACATTTGTATGCATTATGCACATGGTTAGCCTGAAGAAGTGATCTGGAGGCAAATACTAGGATACAGGGATAATACTAAATATTTGGGGTAGCATAAATTTATTACTGAGTCATTGGTTAATAACAGAGTCTCCCCTTCAATATTTTTAAGCTCATGGTAAAATTCCTGTTGTATACAATGAGAGAAGGTAGATGAGGTACTGTCTTTTATTGGACCAACTTCTGTTGCTGAAAAAGACAAGCTTTGGATCTTACACTGAACTAATCTTCATGACTGGGAAAGGTACTCAGAGTATCCTGTTATATCCAATGCTGTTTTAATAGCCCTTGTACTGCTTAAGTTACTTGGCTACCAAGCACAAATTGTAAGTGGAAAGAAAGTTTTATAGTTTTTCAAAGAAAACTGAATCTTAGAAAGTGACTAACTCTAAATTTTCTAAAATGTTTATATTGGTAAAAAGCAGCCATTCAATATTTTTCAGGCTTTCACAAGGCAATGGTAAAGACCATGACTGCTGCACTACAGATTCCTCACTTTGGTTATTGTGATGAGATTGACTTAACTCAGCTTGTTCAATTGAGAGAAGAATTAAAACCTGTAGCACAGGCACGGGGAGTTAAAGTCTCCTTTATGCCGTTCTTCATAAAGGTGAGTCATAGCTGCATTTTGGAACAGGATTCCTAATGGTATAGACTATTGATGCAAAGGGAATAGTGTGGAGGAAGGAAAAACACACTTTTCTTCTGAATTTTTCATTTAGTCCAGCAGTTTTCTTTAATTGTCCTTTTATTTTATCCCTTTTCATCTTTACAATTAGCAACACACAAAAACACTCTGTGGTTCTGAAACAGTAAGATCTCTTCTTGCTTACAGTCATCCTCTCTCTCTACTTACCTAGGTACTTGTATGGTTCTCCAGAGTATTTCAAAATAGAAATTAGATTAACCTAGACAAACACATTTGTTTGCATTATGGACATTACATGCTGCCTGACGTACTCTCATTTTGTCCTTTGCTTTTTCCATTAGGTGATAAGAGTATCAAGAGAGCTCTTAGTGTTAATGTTGTTTTTATATTTAACAGGCAGCTTCTCTGGGATTATTGCATTATCCTATTCTTAATGCCTCAGTGGATGAAAACTGTCAAAGTATCACATACAAGGTTTGTGCAATTTTATTAAAATACTCCTGTGCCAAAAATTAATGCTCCTCAAGCATCTTATAGTCAGAGCCCTTTTCAGTAGAAATAAATTAACTTTTCATGACTATAAAAGGTAAAAAAATAGAAACCATAGCAATTCTTAAGTACTATATTGGAAAATGATCCACACACCAGCTCCTCTGTCTGATATCAAAATATATTGAGAGAGCTAGATTAATCCAAGTTATGCTATTTATATAGTCCAGTCTAACTATGCTTCCTGCTAAGAAGGACATGCCACTAGCACAGTGTTTCTTAAACCATGTTCCATGGCACACCGGTGTGCCGCGGGGCAGTCGGAGGTGTGTCGCGGAGAACAACAGAATTCAAAATGGCCACCCTTAGAAGGGCAGCTAACCTTTTTTTTTCCTCAGTAACTTTCCCCCGACCCTTTTTTTCTCAATAACTTTCCCCCCGACCCTTTTTCCCCCCCTACCTTTTTTTTCCTCAACAAAAAATCCTTGGTGTTCCTCATAAAAAAATTTATTGTTTGGTGTTCCTCGGTCTTAAAAAGTTTGAGAGACTGCATTAGTATATTAGCAACTTGCTCTCTTGCTCTCGTTTTTGGGATTAAGTAGTCCCAGCCTATAACACACAAAAATTTAGGCATAGAAATATTTTGTTACTGTGGCAATGGTGACACTGTTCTGTCAACTCTGGTGTCTTAAATAAGTCACTTGTCTGCAGGGAAAAAAGGATTTTCCTGGTATGACAGAAAGCAAGAAGTTTGATATGCAACATAGAGAATATAAGGAGTTTGTGGTCAGGGTTCTGCAGAATACACAATTTGAGTGGATTTATTTTGTGTTTCTGAAAGGTACTGAGTTGATGACCCTGAGGACTGAAATCCTATATTTACAGAATTAATATAACACAGGTAGCAGTAATGCAAGCTTCCCATGCACTTTCTTACTCCACCATCTCTCAGACCTACTCTTTCTGAATCACTTCAGAAAATGAAAGGGCAGTTCCAGCTTTATTTCCTTTAAATTCATGGCCTCACTGCTGAGACCAACATAGGCTCCAGCTTTTATTGTGTGCACACATTTGTTAACAGAATAAAGAATTGATATTTCCAAGGGAATGGAACTAAGGATGAACTAAGGATCCTAAGTTTCCTAGATGTAAACTCCCCAAATAGAACTTGGTGGTTGCCTTTACTGTGAATTGTATGGAGATTACCAAAAAGACTTGTCTTTAAAAATTTCAGATCTGCACAGTGTGTGGTTTATTCTAAACAAAAGCTTCCTCAGTGGAAGTACTGAAAGCAATATTTTAATACTTTTTAGTTTCTAGAAAATAACGCTAATTCTTTTTTTTTTTTTTTTTTTTAGCATAAGTCATGGTTGGTTAGTGAAACTTACTGTATTGTAACTGCATATATTGTAGGCTTCTCACAACATTGGAGTTGCCATGGACACAGAACAAGGCTTGATTGTCCCTAACGTGAAAAATGTTCAGGTCTGTAGTGTGTTTGATATTGCTTCTGAATTAAATCGCCTACAGACTTTGGGCTCTTCAGGCCAGTTGGGAACAAATGACCTCACTGGGGGAACATTCACTCTCTCCAATATTGGCACAGTGAGTTAAAAAAGTTTTTACATCTAAAAACTGGTTTAAAATTAACTATTGCCTATTATACTACTAAATATACAATTGTCAGAAAAAGGTGCTTTCTATAATAAATATTACAATACAGCATGCGAGAAACATGCTGCTGCTCTCCAGGAATATTCTTGAGCTAGTTTTCTTGCTTTCCCTTTTAGATTGGTGGAACTTATGCCAAACCAGTGATACTACCTCCTGAAGTAGCTATTGGTGCTCTTGGAAAGATACAAGTATGTGCACATTGTAGCATAGTAACACCATGTTCACTGAAAACTGCAGTTTGTCTACCTTCTATACAGTAGGACCTCAGAGTTATGAACACCTCAAGAATGAAGATTGTTTATGTCTGAACAAAACTTTGATTATTCTTTCAAAAGTTTACAACTGAACATTGATTTAATGCAGCTTTGAACTTTACTATGCAGCCAAAAGAAATGCTGCTTTTAACTCTTACTTTATGTGCAACATAAAGTGGAAGGACTTTGTTGCTGCCCTATGCGCCATTGGCGTAACGGGCAGTAAGTAAGTAAGTTATGTGCAACAAGCATAGAAACAGATTCCTTATCTTACCTCGTCAAATCTTTATTTCAAACTTTCCCTTTTTTTTAGTACATCTAACACAGAACTGCACTGTATATGTTGTTTGGGAGTTTTGTCTCTGCTGCTGCCTGATTGCATGCTTCTAGTTCCAAATGAGGTGTGTCAATTTGTGAATCTGGTGTTCATAACTCTGAAGCTCTGTACCACGTTATTCTTCTCATAACCATTTTTTCTACAAGATGTGGAAAAAGGACACCATGTGAGCTTTGTAAATGAAATCATGCCATGTTTTTATAAGATTTAAAAGGTGACGCATAGAAAATGATATCATTTGAAAATTATGAATACAAATCTTTTGTCCCTTGGTTCAGGATTGTCTACCATAAGCCCAATATATTCATTTCATGATGTTTTCATTTAACTTACTCACTTCCAGGGAAGAAAAGAAAAAAAGATCAGATGATATTCTGATATTTCTTGGTGTCTTTTAATAGGGCCACTTCCAAAAGAATACTTGCAGGGTTTCAAACCAGAAAGACCTGAAACAAATAGCTTCTGATATTTAAGTTTTGTTGTGTGCTCTGGAGATTTAAGTCTATGTAAGAACTTAATGCATTCAGATAAGTAAATTCATTACTGTAGACAAACAAAAAAATAAAATAGACTCTACTCATAGATTTCTTAGGGAACAATACTTTGCTTATATTTCACATGCCTTTTTGAGCTTTTAGGGAAAATTTGGGAGGTATGCATCACCTTGGCACCAAAGGTTCAATCACCTATTTCCCACAGTGGTCTCCAGACCTTTCAGGGTCATGTCTCACCTTAAACCCTGTGCCCCACAGTTTTGAGACCTCTGGTCTACCAGGATAATTTGGAGTCAAGGAGGAATGATGATAAACTCAACAGTGTGGCTTAAGAGTAGTAAAAAAACCAACAAATGGTCTGGTAGCACTTTATAGACTAACAAAACATGTAAATGGTATCATGAGCTTTTGTGGGCACAGCCCACTTCTTCAGATGACCGGAGTTTATCTGAAGAAGTGTGCTGTGCCCACGAAAGCTCATGATACCATCTACATGTTTTGTTAGTCTATAAAGTGCTACCAGACCATTGGTTGGTCTTTTTTCCTGTAACTGACTAATTCAGCTACTCCCTGAAGCTTAAGTGTAGTAGTTGGTAATTCTGTTTCAAGACCTACAGCGCAAACAATTGGGGGGCAAATCTGTATTATGTTAATTGAAACATAACATATCTACTTTAGCAATTGTTTAGAATCGTATTTGTATTGTTTCTCTTTCATCAGCTTTCTTTTTTCTTCACTTTAATTTCTAGGTTCTTCCCCGATTTAATGGTAAAGGGGAAGTATTTAAAGCACAGATAATGAATGTGAGCTGGTCAGCTGATCACAGAATTATTGATGGAGCTACAATGGCCCGTTTTTCTAACTTATGGAAATCCTATTTGGAGAACCCTGCCTCTATGCTGGTAGATCTTAAATAAAGAAGACTAATGCCATAACACATCCTTACACTTCTGGGGATTAAACTGAATAATTATAAAAGCTAGCTATGCTAGCATATGGCCTTTAGTACTTTTCTTATATAATTATATTATGTGGTTAAAAGGTCTCAAGAGCACATGTCAGTCTATTGATAACCTGTTCCATTCTTTTCAGTAAAAATAAGTAGGTCGGTAATTTATTTTACTGGAGGCTGTCATACTTTATAGGTCATTGTATAACTTCTGAATGTGGTGGGGAAAGTATATTGTGTCTGACTTGGATAATATGTAATGACTGCCACTCAGCTGGGTATTACCGAAAGTTATCTCCATGTCTGTGGTACTTTTAAACTGCTTATTCTGGATAGAAGGGAAGTTACATCACATATTTTCCTGTTTGAAAACAGGAATTTATTTTAACAAATCTAAAGGAATATTTCTAAAAGAAATTATGCAGAAATTGTATACAAATAAAATGTCTTTATGCTTATCTTTAAAAATGTCCAATGGACTTTTTATTGTTAAATGGTGCTAACTTTTCCTGTGGTCTTCCTATGCATAGAAAGTTCTTAGCACAGGTACTCAGTGTCAAGTAATAGTAGAAGATGACAGTATCCCAAAAAATGGACTTCCTGCACAGTTTCAGAATATTTACTGGTATCCAACACTTTGTAAATAACTCAGTAGAACTGCCTTACACCAAACTGGTGTGCTAAAAGTATGTCATATTATTTACATACTCTTTTAGACTTTTCTTCTGGGAAGCAACAGCCTGCAAAAGAATGCCATGACTAAATACTCCATCACTAAAAAAATAACTACTTACAACCATTGTTTATAATTACCATAACCTGACAGCTAAGTGTGCTCTAAAAGACTGTCATTATCTTGCACAAGACAGGTGTTGTTTGTTCATATACTGAGGTGTGACAGATCAATATTTGTAAACCGAGTATCACAATTAGATTTAAGCTCATATGCAGGACAGACAGTTAATATGGTTCAGGTTAGCAACCCCAGGACAAATAGCATGCATATTGTTTTAGGCTAAAACAATGTAGAATATGAATACTGGTTTGCAAATAAGATGCAAAGAAAAACTATTGTGTGTGTATTTTCTTTCCAGACAACTTTGAATAGCAAAAATAATACAGAAAAACCAATCATGTGACCAAACAATTTGGGATAGTCAAAATGGACATTTTATAAGAGACTCATCTCCTCTCTGGATGGTATGTCTGTGTGAATACTTTTGTGACAAGGCCCTGTGGTTAGTAGATCTAAGTAACCTGGAAAAGGGTAACTGAGGGACCATGAGAAGGAAGGGAGGCAGATATAAGACACCAAAGACTAGAGAGCCTATCCCTGATGTGCGAACTCTTAAAGGGGTGAGGAAGAACTCTTAAGCTGTGCAAAGATGATGTACATCAGAATTCTAAGCTGCAACTCATATGTTTCTATGCACAATGGTTTTTCTCTGCATTAGCTTCTGCAGTGTAAGGCAAGATACATTTAAATCTGATTTTTTTCTATTAATAAAACTTACAGCACTACAACTTTTGTGGTTTTGGATCTTTTTATTTGGGAATTCCATGCAAACAATCCTAAACAGGAGACTCAACCTTCTACTTCTTGTTAGAGATCACAAAGCAGCGGTACTTGGAATCTACCTCCCTTGGGACATATCAAAAGGACACACTCTAAAGGCTACTCACCTATCAATTGTGTTGCTATACAGGCTACAATCCAAATGATGTATGTACAAACCGGACGACCATTGGTGAGAACCCAACTGAAGGGCTGAAGGAATGATACAATATGAAATATCAGATAAATTAAACTACTCTGCTAGTAGAGGGAGCCAGATTTCTGTCAAATCCTTGACAAAATGGGGAGTCTATTTTCTGCAATCATCTCTAATTATTTGAGTAGTTGATTAAATCAGGAAGGAAACTGGGTACTTAAGAGAAGTTTTCACTGGCTGGATTAGAAAAAAATTAGAGGATTGAAAAGTGAATACAGGTGGTATCATTCACTTGAATACATGTAGCGTGCCCGCGGCTACACGGCACGGACTAGGTAGTTCAGATTAGGCTTCCTATTCCGAACTACCATTACTCCTCGTGGTCCGTGTAGCCGCGGGCATGGAGTCCAAACTAGCGGGGCTTTAAAAATGGTGGCGCCCGGCAAGATGCAAATGAAGCCCGGGAAATTCAAATCCCGGGCTTCATTTGCAACTTCGGTTGCCTACATTAACTACCCTAGTTCGAACTAGGGTGGTAGTGTAGACATACCCTTAGAGACTAACAGAAAAGATTATATAGTATCATGGGCTTTCAGGGGCACAACCCACTTCTTCAAAAACAACACTCTTGTGAGCAATGTCCATAAAGAGCATGTAGTTCTACTGATTCTCTTGCAAACAGTAATCGGTGATTACTGTCCCCTCTTCAGACAGCCCTCTTGGAACTGAGAATAGACTGTGCGGTGGGCAAGCTAGGTAGAGCTGGAGACTGGGTGCACAATTCCCTTAAACTCATTGGAAATCAGTGCAGGGGTCAGACTTCACAGAACATTCCACTGATGCTTGTGATTGGGATTGTGTATTCAAGGAGGTGGCCTTTGGGCCAGCGTAGGGCACAGTATCCCTGTGGGGACAGAGTTTTCCAAATGCCATGTCAGAGATGTACTCACATCTTGGGAGACCCATGAGGTTGTGGCTTTGTTTTTAGGCGGGCAGACACAAATCCTATTTCCCTAAAAGGTTATCTTTCACATTTATCAGATGAAATTGTAATGCAGAGAGGAGCCCAGTGAAGTACTGGTAGGGTGGGAGTGTAGAAGGGAGGGACAGCAGCATCTCCTATGCAAGCTCCCCTTTTTCCTGACCCTGTGGAAACCTGCACACGGGTGCTCTGTAGTGCGTAATTTTTGACTGAAAAGGGAGTGGACCAGGAGGATCATCCCTCTATTCCCACTGGGATTGTAAAGCCTAATATAGAGTTGATGTTGACATACTAGTTTTACACTGGTTTTCTCTTCACTTAATGACATCCTTATTCCCAGTGTGTCAGACCCCCAGTTCCAGAGAGTAGCAAAACTCTCCTGAGAGAACTGTACTTCCTTGGAAAAAGCAGATGGTCATCAGAGAACTGTGTATCCTGTGATTGATTATGATTTCACCACAGCCATTAATTTAGAGGACCAAACACTCTGCCTGTTCTAATCCAGGCCCCCGAATGGATCATATTGGAGGAAACCCTGCAAGGTAAAACTCAGTTTCCTGTGCAGGTTTTCCCTGCATGGAGGACAATATTGCCTGTAATGAAAGATATTTACATTAAGATTCTGAAAAAAGAACCAACAAAAACAAAACCATCTCAAATGTTTCCTTCTGCATCCAGAAGCACTGAGAGTGAAATCCT